GCATTTCTAACAAGTTCCCAGGTAATGCTGATGCTGGGGTCCAGGAACCAAACAGTTGTATCGACCCTTCCAGAATGTTAAGGGTCTTTTGTATTGTCCTCCATTGCTCTTTAATTGTTTCATTCTTTTATTCTCCCCCTCCTCCAAGCTTGTTAGCTCCTGGAAAGCAGTTCAGTTATTGTGACTTATATTTCTTTTTGACCCCGCATTGACCAGGGTCATGCTGTCTTTAGGGTAGGTCTTAGTAAGTTGGTGTTTTTCGCTTTAAAACAGACTCATTTTTCCCCCATCCCCTCAGCTTTATGGAGCTGTGACTGACAAAACTTGTATATATTTAAGATGTACAACGTGATGATTTGATATATCACAATCAAGCTAATAAATGTATCTGTCATCTCCCATCATGATCTTTCAGCTAGTGCGGGCTGAGTATCCGTTATCCAAAATTCTTGGGACTAGAAATGTTTCTGAATTTGGAATTTTGAGATTTTGGAATATTTGCATAGATGTAATAAGGTATCTTAGGAATAGGACCCAAGTCTAACCCCACAGCTCATTTATGTTTCATGTACACCTTATATTCAAAGCCTGAAGGTAATTTTGTTTTTCTCTTGGGAAGACCGAATAAACTGTGTGTTGTGTGCTTGTGTTTTGACTGACCTGTCATATGAGGTCGGATGAGGCATCTATCAGCATCAGAAAGTTTCAGGTTGGCCGGGCGCAGTGGCTCACGCTTATAAAGCCAGCACTTTGGGAGGCCAAGGAGAGAGGACTGCTTGAGCTCAGGAGTTCGAGACCATTCAGGGCTACATAGCGAGACCTTACCTCTGCTCCCCCTGAAAAAAATAGTTGGACATAGTGGCGTGTGCTTGTAGTCCCAGCTACTCAGGAGGCTGCGGTGGAAGGATCACCTGAGCCCAGAAGGTCAAGGCTGCAGTGAGCCGTGATTGTGCCACTGCCCTCCAACTCAAAAAAATAAAGTAACTCTTAGGATATTGCATATGGGTGCTGTGTCTGATTTCTTAGTAGGGGCTCTTGCCTTCTACCTTTAGAAGTCTTTGACATCTTTTTTTTAACCTTTCGTGTCTGTAGAGGCCAGCCGGAATCAACATGTCTGGGATGGAAGACACAACTCTTGGAGGGCGTGACAGCCATCCTCCGGCTAGTGGCAGCTCTGTGTTATGCTTTGGACAGGTAACCGTGGTTCCTTCATCCCTGGAGAGAATGCAGTTAAGAGAAACGGGATGAGATGTCTGCAGAGCTTCATTGTACATGTGGGAACATTTGTTCCTGTTTTTATCTTCAGATGCGTTATTTGAGGTCTTTGGGGACCTCTGAGGGCATTTTGAACTTCGGCATCAAAAGACTAATAGTGCAGGGGATTGCATTTAGGTCCAAGTGTGCTTATTTTTTGGGTCACCTCAAACCTTCATGTGATGTCAAATTCAAAATGAAACAGACTCAGCATGAAAAGTTGCCCTGGTTCCCTGTCACTCCTGTCTGTTGCTCAGTCCTAGTTCCTGGAGGCATCCACAGTTACTGGGTCCTGTTCTTTGTAGGGATATTCTATGTATAGAAAAGCGATTCCTGCTTTGTCCACCCGAGCTGTCTTTGTCTACACCAGAGCTTTGTTTGTATTTATCTCACATTTAAATGGGGCAAAACCCCAACCCCTAGGTTGGGAAGCTGCTGAATTGGAGCAGAAGGTGTAAAGCTTTAGAGAGGAACAAGGGAAGCAAAGCCTTCTTTTCCGTTTTCTCATTCCATACTCCCGTCCTGCAAAAAATGTCCTGTCCGGACTCTGAGATGGGAAGTGTTAGTTTCCTAATCCTGGCTTGAGAAAGTTGTATAAGGATGGTGGCAGTTCCCTAAGTGTGGTCCCAGCATCCCTGGGGGGGTCTCAAGACTTTTCAGACTGTGTGAGGTCAAAATTAGTTTTATGATCATACTGAGATACTATTTGCCTTTTTCATGCTCATTCTCTCCTGAGTTTTCCAGAGACTGTGACATGTGATGGTGTCATCGCTCTATGCCTCATGAGACAGATGCCTTAAATGTTTCTCAGTTTTCATTCCTGATGTGATAAATATAACCGACATATACAAAAGCTCTTGGGATCCTCAGTACTTTTTTAGAGTGTAAAGAGGTCCTGAGACGAAAAGGCTGGAGACTCACTGATGCAAAGAGTGTTGGAAATACCAGTTTTCCTTTTCTGGATTGTAGTGCCAGTACACAGCGGAAGAGTACCAGACCATCCAGAGTGCACTGAGGCAGAGGCTGGGCCCAGAATACATCAGCAGTCGAATGGCTGGAGGAGGCCAGAAGGTAGGAGAACTCACCTGCTTGGAAAGCGAGCGTCCACGTAGCCTACTACTCAGGTGGTCTTGGCAGCTCCCTCTCTGCGTCATGGATTCAGAAGGCACCTGTTCACTGTGACCGTCACAGGATGTTTCTTCGTGCCCCTGGGAGATGATGGGTTCTAGCCTTCATTCTCATCTGAAGGGGCCCAAGCTTCGTCATTTTTATTTATATTTTACTTATTTTTTTAATCAGAGTCTCACTCTGTTGCCAAGACTGGCACAATCACGGCTATCTCAGCCTCAACCTGCTGGGCTCAGGTGAACCTTCTGCCTCAGCCTTCCAGGTAACTGGGACCACAGGCACGTGTTACTGTGCCCAGATAATTTTTTCATTTATTGTAGAAGCGAGGTCTCGTCAAGTTGCCCAGGCTGTTCTTGAACCCATGGGCTCAGGCAACCCCCTCACCTTCACCTCCCAAAGTGTTGGGATTAATCCAAGTGAGCCAGTGTGCCCAGTTGTCATCTTGAGGCTTATATAACTGCCATCTTAGGATATCTACAACATCTTTTTTTTTTGAGTCGGAGTCTCACTCTGTTGCCCAGGGTGGAGTGCAGTGGCACGCTCACAGCCACCACAGCCTTGACCTGCTGGGCATAGGAGATCCTTCTGCCTCAGCCTTCCAAGTAGCTGGAACTACAGATGCACACTACCATACCTGGCTAATTTTTTTTTTTTGTGAGTTATTACAGAGATGAGGTCTCACCAAGTTGCCCAGGCTGGTCTGGAACACCTGAGCTTGGGCAATCCTCATACCTCGGCCTCCCAAAGTGCTGGGATTACAGGCTGGGCCTCTGTGCCCGGCCTACAACATGTTTTAAAATGTTATTTTTGGCTGGGCTCAGTGGCTCAGCCTGTAATCCCGCACTTTGGGAGGCTAAGGTGAGTGGATTACCTGAGCCCATGCATTCGAGATCAACACGGCAACTTGGTGAGACCTTGTCTCTGCAATAAGTCAGACATTAGCTGGGTGCTGTAGTTTCTGCCATCTGGAAGGCCGAGGCGGAAGGATCACCTGAGCCTAGCAGGTCAAGGCTGTGGTCGTGAGCATGCCACTGCACTCCAGCCTGGGTGACAGAGTGAGACTCTGACTCAAAAAAAAAAAAAAGCTGCTTTTTTGGGGGTGAATTAACATATTTTTGAAAAATTTATAATTAACACATAATAATGACACACCATTAGCTTCTAATTTTAACTTTTGTGTGTGTTTGGTCTTGACTAACTTGAGATTTTGTACTTTTTTGGAATCTGTGGGTTTTGGACACTGTTTGGTGAGTGGATATCTTTTGTTCCCAATCTAGTTCCTTCCCCCAGGCAGACAATTAGTTCTCACTTGTCCCTTATAGAAGATCTTTGAAATAAGTTCACTGAGAATTTCCCTGGAATGTGAAGGGCAGTTTTGCCAAAAAAGCAGATAAGAAATGAACTAAGCAAAATTTGACTTGCACTTAAGTTATGGCAAGGAATTTTAACAGGTTTTTCTTGAAATTTTCTTTTCCTCAGGTGTGTTACATTGAGGGCCACAGGGTAATTAGTCTGGCCAACGAGATGTTCGGCTACAATGGCTGGGCACACTCTGTCACGCAGCAGAATGTGGGTGAGTGTGTGTCCTCCTGGTGGTGACTGCTCCCTCCCTTACTTGGCCATATTTCTGAGGAGGGTGTTTTATGGGCAAGGATGTAAGGTAGGTGTACCTGGCTGCCAGCAAGAGGAATCTGGCTGAGGTACAGGGGTCAGTGTCCTCTACAGCTGGTTCTCTTTCCCACCCTAGATTTTGTTGACCTCAACAATGGCAAGTTCTACGTGGGAGTCTGTGCATTTGTGAGGGTCCAGTTGAAGGTGAGGGTGATGGCGCAGACTTGCTGCCTAGAAGCACCGGTGGGTGGTAGGAGAGTGCCAGCAGGTAGGGAAGTCTTAGAACTGTGACACAGCCAGGCCAGAGAGCTGGGCCCAGAGTTGTGTGTCAGTCTGAGGATGTTCAAACGTTCTTGCTCATGTGCCTCCTAAGAGAAGTCTGAAAATCTCTGTCCTCTTGACCTTTTAAAATTGACACTTAAAAGTTTTCACCTGGGCTGGGCTTCGTGGCTCAGCCTGTAATCCCAGCGGTTTGGGAGGCCGAGGTGAGTGGATTGCCTGAGCCCGCGGGTTCGAGACCCACCCAGGCAACTTGGCGGGACCTCAGCTCTACAATAAACCAAAACTAGCTGGGTGTGGTAGTGCATGCCTGTCATTCCGGCTACTTGGAAGGCTGAAGCGGAAGGATCGCCAGAGCCCAGTGGGTTGAGGCTGTGGTGACCGGAAGCGTGCCACTGCACTCTAGTCTGGGCAACGGAGTGAGACTCCAACTCAAAGAAAAAAAAAAAAGTTTTCACCTGACCGGGTGCGGTGGCTCAAACCTGTAATCCCAGCACTTTGGGAGGCTGAGGCAAGAGGATTGCCTGAGCCCAGGGGTTCGACACCAATCTGGGCAACTTGGCAAGACTTCGTTTATTTAATAAATCAAAAAATAAATCGGGCGTGATAGTGCTCACCTGTAGTTCCAGCTCCTTGGAAGGCTGAGGCAGAAGGATCGCCTGACCCAGCAGGTCGAGGCTGCGGTGGCTGTGCGTGTGCCTCTACACCCCAGCCTGGGTGACAGAGTGAGACCCCGACTAAAAAAAAAGAAAAATAAGTTTTCACCATATATACATAGTACAAAGGGTATGTTTTATGGCATATTGTAAAATTTGACATTGAAAATGCTGTAAGCCTATTTAGCATTGTTGATCGGTTTCTGGAAACGGATATTGAGCGAAGCGATGTTCAGGAGGCCCTTGAATCGTATTTCATTGTAGCGTTGATGAGAAAGAGATACTGGCTTTGTTATATAGCGTTTTGCTTAAAGTCAGTTTCCAGGAACCAACTGAAGATATTAAGTGGGGATTTATCGTAAATCTATCACTTTTTTTTGAATGGGTGGGTCTCACTCTGTTGCCCAGGCTAGAGTGCTGTGGCACGGCCCAGCCTCAACCTCCAGGGCACAGGCAATCCTTCTTCCTCAGCTTCCCAAGTAGCTGGTGGTATAGGCATGTACCACAATGGCCCGGTGATTTGTTTATTTTTGTAGAGACAAGTGTAGCTATGTTGCCCAGGCTGGTCTCGAACTCCTGGGCTCAAGCAGTCCTCCCACCTCAGCTTCCCAGCGTGCCTGGCCTGTTACATCTTTTTTAAATGTACCAGTGGAATCTAAATATTATAGGGGAATAAATACTGTCATTTATTTGGAAAAAATACCCGAGCAAGGTATTCTTTTATTACCAGAAAATTTATGTTGTTCCTTCTTTGTCCAAACTTACATTTCTATTCCATTTCTCCACTGATTTCTTTTTTTTGAGTTGGAGTCTCACTCTGTCGCCCAGACTGGAGTGCAGTGGCCACTTCCGGCCACCGCAGCCTCGACCTGCCGGGCTCTGGCGATCCTTCTGCCTCAGCCTTCCGAGTAGCCGGAATTACAGGCACGCGCTACCACGCCCGGCTGATTTTTTGATTAATTGTAGAGATGAGGTCTCGCTGCCCAGGTGGGTCTCGAACCCGTGGGCTCAGGCAATCTACTCACCTCAGCCTCCCAAAGGCGCGGGATTACAGGCTGAGCCACCGAGCCCGGCTTCCACTGATTTCTATCCTGATATATATTTGATTGAAAACTTTATTGGTAAAAACCTTATTATGCTTCTCTGCTTATGTGTGTGCATATATGTGTAAATACAGATACACATTTTTGGTAAATTTGCAGTGACCTTAAGGTAAGTATTAAAAGATTTTTTCTAGGTTGAGTTCTTATTGTAGTTATTGTTAACGCACAATTGATTAGAAAATTGTGTTTATATTGAAGAGACTACATAATTACGTCAACATTTTGATACTTAATAAAAATAAAAAACAAAACTATATGGAAAATGAATACCCTAATGAGATGGATGGTGCTGTTTTCTCTTTTCAGTTAGTTTATGTATCCATAATTGAATATTATCTATTTCATGAATGAGCCTTCTGCATTAATTCTATTCTGACTTCTTATTTTAAATGTAAATAAGTAGCTGAGAATGGAAAGACTTTTGTTACAGTGTTACTCATTTCTTTGGGTGCTTTCTGAGTTATTTTTCAAGCATCACAGAGTGCTATCATCCAACACTCTATTTAATTCTCTATCAGCTAACAAGTCCACCTTCAAGTCCACCTTCATGTTTGGTGACAGCCAAAGATGGATGCCACCTGACTTACAATGGCATTTGCTGTGTAACCGTTTGAGTCCGTTAGATGCAGGATTTCAAATGATCCCTGTGTTTGGTTTTGATACCTAGGGTAGGGCACTTTGGTAAGATTTGAGTGGACTAGCAATGTGCCTTTTGTATGGGATGGAGAAGGTGGGAAGGGAGGATTGTCTTGGCGGCCTGGTTGTGGGCCTGGGTCCAGGCAGGTCGGTCTAGGAAGTGCTCCCGGAAACGGACTCTCTTACAGCTCACTGTGCCCGTGCCCCTGAGCAAGGTCGCCAGCAGTAGATGCCATTGGAACACTGCTGCTTGAGGAGAAGGGGACATGCCCGCTGCGCTCATGTTCCGGTCCGATCTCCTTTTCTGTCCACAGGATGGCTCATACCATGAAGACGTGGGTTATGGTGTTAGTGAGGGCCTCAAGTCCAAGGCCTTGTCTTTGGAGAAGGCGCGGAAGGAGGCAGTGACAGATGGGCTGAAGCGAGCCCTCAGGTGAGGGCGAGACGGTCTGGCTGGCTTCACGTCAGCTATTGTTTCAGAGTCTTCAAAAAGGCAGCACGTGGACGCGATTCTCAGAAGCTGATGCGGCACAGAGACATGACAGATGCTCATACCATGAAAGACGTCTCACTCCACCACCGTTCCCGTCTGTCCTCTTCTCCTGCTTTCCTTTGTATTTTCTCAGCGCTTATGTTTGGGCTTCCTCTTCTTCGGAATAACTGTGGCATCTCATATTGTCTGTTTGGCGCGTGCCTTGCCCCCAACTCGGGAACGTAGACGAGGCTGTTCCACTCCCGCATGTGAGTGCGGGGCTGGCGTCCTCTCTCTCGGTGCGCCTGAACGCTCTGTGTGCGTCAGCATCCTGGCTAGCCTAGTTACCAGTTACACAGACGTCTTTGAGAACTGAAGTGAACTGGATCAGCAGAAAAACCCATGAATTCTGTGGGGGAGTCCACGGATCCCAAGTTAAGAACTCTGGTCTCGGAGGGTTGTGCCCGTGGTCCCCCCCTCGCACCCCCAAGTGTGTGTAGCCTGCTGCTGTTGGGGAATTGGAGCAGTCCCTGGAAGATCTCTGCTCTGGAATTTGTGCTCCACGTCGGGAGGTTGCGATGGTTTTGTGAGGGGTTCTTCGGCCTTTTCATCCTCACCTGTCCTCGAGGGCGGGGGTCTGTGTCTGTGGGGCTCACTGCTGCATTCTCAGAAGTAAATGCGGTGCAGGAACGTGGCAGGTGCTCCCTGACCATTCGTGGAATTCACATACGGGCCCATGTCCTGGGCTGCACTTGAGAAGCAAACTATACAAACGTCGTAACTCTGTTCTCCGATATTCACATGTCATCAATGTCATCATTCTCAGTCCTGTTTCATTGTGTTCCCCTTCTACCCTTAGGAGTTTTGGGAATGCGCTTGGAAACTGTATTCTGGACAAAGACTACCTGAGGTCACTCAATAAGCTTCCCCGCCAGGTACGTCAGAAATGGATGAATGCAGCGGGTTGCAGCGGAGAGAATGTAATCGAGTCTGTGTGTCATGGGTTGAGTGTCTGGAGGATGACGGGAGAAGAAGTGAGGACTCAGCTGTTCAGAGGGTCTGGAGTGTTCACGTAAGATTCTGAAAGCAAGAGCCAGCAGGAGCTAATCACCTCATCTTACAGATGAAACCAAGGTCTAGAGACTTTATGGTACTTGCTCCGTGTGTAGAGAACTGTGGTTGGCAGTGGTCTATGAAACCGCCCAAGGGACACGTGTCCCTCTGCGGCACCACTGTCGTTTTCTAGACACACTCTGAATCTTGCTCGTTCAACCTTTCTTTTTCTTTGCTCTGATGTCTTTAAGCTTAGGTTTCCATTGTTTGTGGGCACCTATCCCCTCATCTGAGCGTTTGCCTTTGGGGCGTGGGGTCTGGTCGAGCGCCCTGGAACCCCTTGGCCTGGGATGAGTCAGTCCCTGGAGTGTTCTTCCTGCTGGGGCAGGCGGCTGCTTCCTCTGTGGCGTGCTCTGAGGTACCTGCCGTGCCGCTATCCAGGACCGCGTTTCCATCTTGTACCCGAGGCGTCCTTTTTCTTGTGGCATTCCTGGGACAGATGTGTCCATGGACAGCTGCCAACACTCCTTTAAAAACAAATCCCTTTTAAACGTGATTGGATTCAGCTTGCTAAATATTTTGTTAAGAATGTTTGTATCTGTGTTACAGGGGATATTAGTCTATAATTTTCTTTCTTTTTTGTTGTGGTAAAAAACATATAATACAAAATTTACCATCTTAACTATTTTTTTTTTTGAGTTGGAGTCTCACTCCATCACCCAGACTGGAGTGCAGTGGCCGCTCCTGGCCACCACAGCCTCGACCTGCTGGGCTCCGGTGATCCTTCCGCCTCAGCCTTCCAAGTAGCCAGAACTACAGGTGCATGCTACCATGCCTGGCTAATTTTTGACTTATTGTAGAGATGAGGTCTCGCCAAAGTTGCCTGGGCGGGTCTCAAACCCTTAGGCTCGGGCAATCCACTCATCTCGGCCTCCCAAAGTGCTGGGATGACAGGCTGAGCCACCGAGCCTGGCACCATCTTAACTATTTTTAGTGTACTGTTGAGTTGTGCTAAGTACACTTACGCTCTTGTGAAGCTGACTCCAGAACTTTCTCACCTTGCAGAACTCAGACTCTAGACCCCTAAGACAAGAACTCCCCCCTGCTTCCTTTCCCCAGCCCCTGGTAGCCACCGTGCTGCTTTCTATTTCTATGAATTTGACTACTCTTTATACTTCACGTAAGTGGAATCATCCAGTTTTTGTCTTTTTGTGACTGGCTTATTTCACGTGACATTAATGCTCTCAAGATTCATCTATGTGGTAGTGTGTATAAGAATTTCTTGTGACCCGCCTGGGCAGGCGAGACCTCATTTCTACCATAAATAAAAAAAAAAAAATGAGCCGGGCGTGGTAGTGCGCGCCTGTAGTTCCAGCTACTTGGAAGGCTGAGGCGGAAGGATCGCTGGAGCCCAGCAGGTCAAGCCTGTGGTGGCCGGGAGCGGCCACTGCACTCCAGTCTGGGTGATGGACTGAGACTCCAGCTCAAAAAAAAAAAAAATAGTTAAGATGGTAAATTTTGTATTATATGTTTTCCAGTCTGGGCGACAGAGTGAGACTCTAACTCAAAAAAAAAAAAAAGAATTTCTTTACTTTAGCTGAGCACAGTGGCTCAACATCTGTAATCCCAGTACTTTGGGAGGTGGAGGTGAGAGGATTGCCTGAACCTAGGGGGTTGAGACCAGCCTGGGCAACTTTTTTTTTTTTTTAAATTAGAATCTTACTGTATTGGCCAGGCTAGAGTGCAGTAGCACGCTCATGGCCACCCCAGCGTTGACCTGCTGGAATCAGGCGATCCATCCACCTCAGCCTTCCAAGTAGCTGGAACTACAGGCACGTGATACCACGCCCGGCTAATTATTTGATTTATTGTAGAGGTGAGGTCTTGCCAAGTGGCCTAGACTGGTCTCGAAAACGAGGGCTCAGACAGTCCCCTCGCCTTGGCCTCCCAAAATGCAGGGATTACAGGCTTGAGCCACTGTGCCTGGTCCAGTCTGGGCAACTTGATGAGACCTTGTCTCTACAATAAATAAAAAAATTAGCTGGGCATGGTGTTGTATGCCTGTAGTTCCAGCTACTTGGAAGGCTGAGGCAGGAGGATCGCCTGAGCTGAGCAGGTCGAGGCTGCAGTAGCTGTGAATGTACCACTATACTCCGGCCTGGGTGACAAAGTGAGACGCTGACTCAAAAAAAAGGATTTTCTTATGTTTTGAGGCTGAATAACATTTCATTGTATGTATATCTGCCATGTTTTTAGTCCATTCATCTATTGATGGACATTGAGTTGCTTTGCTTCTTTCTCTCGGCTATTGTGGATGTGGCAATGAACATGGGTGTGTAAATATCTCTTGGAGACCCTGCTTTCAACTCTTGGGGATATATACCCAGAAGTGAGATTGCTAGAGCATATGGTAGCTCTCTTTTTAATTTTTTGAGGTGCTGCCATATTGATTTCCCTCGTAGTTGCAACATTTTATAATCTCACCAACAGTATACAAGAGTTCAGAGTTTCCCACAACCTTGCCAACGCTTGTTATTTCCTGTTTTTTTTTTGAATAGCTATCATAATGGATATGAAATGATATTTTATTGTGGTTTTGATTTACATAATCCTCGATAATTCGTGATGTTGAGCATCTTTTCATATACTTGTTGGTCATTTGTATATCAAATTTGGAGAATCTAAAAGATGATTCAAGTCCTTTGCCATTTTTAAATTGTGTTGATATTTTGTTATTTAACAGTTGTTCTTTAAAAGTGTGGATATTAACCCTTTATCAGATATATGATTTATATTTTCTTCCATCCCATAGGTTGCCTTGGGCTTTTTTTTGGAGACAGGGATTTGCTCTGTCATCCAGGCAGGAGTGCAGTGGCCCAGACACAGCTCACTACAACCTTGAACTCCTGGGCTCATGTGATCCTCCTGCCTCAGCCTCCTGAGTAGGTAGGACTGCAAGCTCACACTACCTCATCCAGCTAATTTTTAATCTTTGTAGAGAGGGTCTTTCTGTGTTGTCCAGGCTGGTCTTGAACTCCTACCCTTGAGCAGTCCTCCCGCCTCAGCCTCCCACAGCACTGGGATTACAGGTGTGAGCCAGTGAGCCCAGTCACCTTACAAGTTTTTAAGTTTGATTGTATCTCATTTATTTTTGCTTTTGTTGCTTGTGTTTTGGTGTCTTATCAGAAAAGTCATTGCCAAATCCAGTGTCCTGAAGTGTTCCCTCTATGTTGTCTTCTAAGAGTTTTACAGTTTTGGGTCTTTAATCCACTTTGGGTTGATCTTTGTGTATGGTGTAAGATCAGAGTCAAATTTCATTCCTTTGCATAGGGTTTCCAGTTTGCCCAGCATTATTTGCTGAAGAGACTGTCCTTTCCCATGTCAGTGGTTTTTTTCATGCTTTTTGAAGATCATTTGACCGTATATGCAAGGGTCTTATTTCCTGGCTCTTTATTCTGTTCTGTTGGTCTGTATGTCTGTCTTGATACCTCTACCACACTGGCTACTGCAATAAATGCCGATGGGATTTTGAGAGGTTGCACTGAATTTGTAGATCATTTTAGGTAATATGGGTGTATGACAACATTAAGTCTTTAGATTTATGATCATGGGATGGTCTTTCCATTTATTTGGGTCTTCAGTTTCTTTTTTTTTCTTTTGAGTTGGAGTCTTACTCTGTTGCCCAGACTGGAGTGCAGTGGCCACTCCCAGTCACTGCAGCCTCGACCTGCTGGGCTCCAGTGATCCTA